AGTAACATCTCAATTGTCTTTAATTTCAAGTATAATTGTATATATACATATATATGCGTACATATGCATACATACATACACACATACATACATACATATATATATATATATATACACATATATATATATATATATACATATATATATACACACACACACACACACACACACACACATATATATATATATATATATATATACCAGTGCTTGGAGACTCATTAGGTCTAATTATAGCTTCACGGTATATTGCAATTATACTGTTGGTAATTGTTGTCGTTTAGTTCAACAAACTAAGAAAATAATTGTAATTTTGATAAGTCATTGTAATTTCATTGTTGATGAAATTTCAAGTCTTATTTTCTTGAAATTCCCTAGTTTACATAAGAAATAAATATAAACAATATGAAGAAACTTGGTCAAAATTCTTATAATGCCAATTTTCTTTTTTGCCTTTTTATAATTTTTCGTACATTTGTCTATATGTTTACGATTTATGATAGAATATTTATTCATTAATCATTGTAACTTTTATATCATGATTTTCATTTATTTTTCATCTAAAACCAATGTCCCATTCTATTTTATAAATTTTTATATTTCAATCAATATTCAAATGAAATAAAGACTATTTTTAATGAAATAATATATTCTAAAATAAATTAAATAAAGTACGGAACGACCCCTACGGATATTTGTTAAGGGATATTGTTGAAATAATAAAAATTTTGTAAACTTAAACACGAATCGACTAAATATTGTTCGTCTCAAGTTTATAATATTCCAATCAATTGCATATAACTAATTAGATACGCGGTATAATGAATTAGATTTAACGCTAAATAATAGAAAATCGTATTGTTATGAAATTATAATGATAAACGAAATATTACTTTTACACAGCTCGACAGTTTTTGTACGTGAAAAGTCATTGCAAAATAAAAACAGCGAAACAATTCGTATAATTATCAAATACTAAATTCTATCTTGCAGCATTTGAAAATAGATGGAAATGCCATTTATGGTGCGGTCGTCTGCAATAATCGCTGCTGCTTAATCTTTGAATATGTAAAAATTCTTGTAGAAATGATATTTACTAATAATTAACAGACAATAAATGCCAATAATAAATTATTTTATCACTATATTACACTTAGCATATATTATATTTCGCGTATTTCGTACTTTCACCTATCTCGGAGTTTGTTTAGCTTGTTGTTGTTGTTGTTGTTGTTGTTGTTGTTGTTGTTGTTGTTGTCGTTGTTGTGATATTTTCAAGAATTCATTTATGTTTCGTAATTTTAAATATCTTGATCGAATGCATTTGCTGCTTAGATGGACCGAAACAACTATGCCAATAATTCTACTTATTATGCAACCGTATTAATTGTCAATTACATATTGTAGGCGATATATTTAATATTTCACGTGCCTATTTGTAATTGGAATGCAAAGGCATTCTTGAAATAACAATGATTTTATTTGCTTTAGTGTGTAGAGTGTCGTTGACAATAACCCTAGAGGTCTTAAAGGGGGGATTCGGTTAAAGTAAATCACAATGCGCGATGAATTTCAATAACAATTCTCTTTTCTTGTTAAAACAATGAAAACAATACCGAGCTTTAAATAAGAATAAATATTTCTATTCATATGTGCAAAATAGTCTATAAATATGCATGAAATTGCCAAGACAATACTTAATAGATCCCTTGTAATTGTTAATTCTCTAACAGAATCTTTTTTTTATAAAAGTCTTTTACATCTTTCTTCATTCAGACATTTATCGTTGATAAGTTTCATCATTACGATTTCGGCTCACTTCAAATTGCCAACATTTCTGCCTGTCAATTATCAGCATTAAGCGCTTGTGTATTCGCACACCTCGATTTAATTAGTCGCGTAATAATTTTTTACAAACTTCCGCATAGATAATTTAATTTGGAGATTCGGAGACTCCGCGAGTCCATAAAATAACAGAAACGAGAGTCTGGTGGAGCTCTATTCGTACGCATAAACAAGTGAAGAAAGACCGAATCCGGTCCGGCGTGTTTCTGAGCGTAGCTCATCCGGTTTCCCTCCCCCTTGCCATTTGCAATGATTATGTCGTGGTTAGGTAGCAAATGGTGTGTGTGTGTGTGTGTGTGTGTGGGTGAGTGGGTGGATGGGTGGGTGGTTGGGTGAGCGAAACGAACGGGAGGAGTCGGGCAAAGAATAATGAAGAGTAGCTTTCGAAAGTCGAGATGCAAAGATATGTAAAAATATTTCGCAAAATATTAGCACCGAAGAGGGAGGGCGTGTTTTTACGTGCCCTAGGGAAATACCGCTAGGAGCACTAGAACGATAAGGGACAGTGATTAGGTGAGCAGGTCGAATTATTTAAAGGGCTTATGCGAATGGTGAGGCGGGAGGTGGGCCGCGCTCATTTGTATGGAGTTTTGGAGTCTACGCTTTCGGGATGAGTAATATTGAGTGGGTCGGTGAGGCGGCGCTGGGAAATCGCTTCGCATGGCGCGGCATAAATTATTGGATGCGAGTGAGAGATTTAAAGGTAAGTAATGTCGTTTGTTCACTGGAGCGAGATTTACTGGAGAGTGAGTGTGTGCGTGCATCGGGAACCTTGACACTGACCACATACGAGTCTTTTTCTTTTTTTTTTTGTTTTGCTTTGGACAACATGGGAGAAAAATGAATCTTTGCAATTACGTATCAGGTAATCTAATAGTTCGAGGAAAATTGTTTAAATCTATTATAATATTTATAGAGTTGAATCATCGTTCATCGTTTATATATATATTAATAATAATTCGACGTCTATATCTTGCCAAGGGGCGACAATTTATAGATTTTTATAAACTCGTATCTAGAAATGTCTGGCAGATCAGTAGTATATTCATCAATTTGGATTATTTAATGATTCGCGGTGAATAAGTTTTGCTAATGGAAGAATACTCAAGAGGAATAATTGAAAACATCGTGAAAACTATATAAATCATGATTATTAGAAATAAAAAATTATCTTAAAAAGCTTATGAACATTTTGCTACAAAGCTACGAGCGGCAGATTTTACATAAATAAATATATTGATAAAGAATTCTGTGATTGAAATAAATTATTGTCATTAATATGTGTAGAACATCATGAAAATTTAAATAAAAATATTCTCCTCTTGCGATCAAAAACTTTAATAATAAATAATTTTGACATTGAGAAAGAAAAGGGAATGAGTTTTACATAAAAACTGTATGTCTGATAATGTAGAAATTGTTTTTATCATTTCATTATTGTAGATAATATGAATTTGACAAGTAATGTGTTCACTAACGTTAATTAACAATTTTGTCACTGGCAAAATATATTTTGTTAAGTATTAATTAATTAAGTATATACTTACTGGGAATACATTTTTATGAAATAATTTTTAAAATGTTAATTAGTAATGATATCTTTGTTCCAATATTTGAAGTAATAAAGAATTGTGCATAATAGAAACAATTCGAAAAAACGAGACTGGAAAATGTAATCCAAAGTATACGAAGATAAGTAGTAGAGGTGATGCTTGAAATTTTCCAGCCCTTGATGCGTCTCTCGTGGGCACTTTGCATAATAAATGGTGACCGCGAAAGTGTGTTCTTTTTCGTGTGTGTGTGTGCGTGCGTGCGTGCGTGTGTGTGTGTGTGTGTGTGTGTGTGAGAGAGAGAGAGCGAGAGAAGGAAATAAAGAAAAAATTGCGAATCACATTCTCGAGTGGGCCCTGGACTTATACACACGGGAATTTTTCCCCTGCTACGGTTTATGAAACGACGCTTACATGTAGTTGTAAGTATATACATAGAGCTATACACGTACATGATTCATAAATTGTTATGGTTTTTAAGAAAAAAGTCCGTAGAAAGCCGTGATTTTAAAAACAGTACAAATTTCAAACTTTATTTTTAGATGTAATTTTGAGGTATTTGCTCTGTGTGCAAATTAGAACAGATCGAGGTATGTCAAGACTCTCAACCTCCCTGAGTAATAAGTGAAAAATACCAGTGGAGATGTGATTTTATGGCACTTTTCTAGTGTCCGTGTAATAGCGGTAGACGCTACAGCGATGACGAAATTTATACTAAATTTCAATAACTTTACACCGATACGATTTCCTTGACGTCTACTTGGCAAAAAATGTGTTAATACGGTAAATTGATCTTTTACAAAAAGCGTTAAGTTATGTTCATATAAATATTGAATTGAGGAGTCACCAAACGACTTATCATCTCTTATAAAACTCTACCAATATTAAAAGTTTAATCGTATTTTATTTATAAATATAAACAGACGAACAATTGCAAAGCTTCCGATAATCCATTTATGCAGTATCAAATGGCCGTTGAACATATTTATAAACGTCATAACGATAATAAGAACTAATGGGACATTTCGAGCTCAGAGATTACGCGTAGTTACATATTTCTCATTTATACGCAGGAGCTAATATTCTGAAGAAATGTGTTCAAGCGATTTCATTATGATATTACCTAAGAGAAAGAGGAATTTGTATGTTAAAAAACACAATGGTCTCGAAGATTTTATTAAATTGAAATGTATGATATGCGGCATCATTAAACCTTGATTATAAAATTATTCGAAATTCCGTAATGTCCCGCCCGTGCTGAATCCCAACAAAGGCGGATCGATTAGCAAATCAATTCCCAGTTGCCACGCGACAATTCCTCAGAGCCGGAGATGCTCTTAAAAATCCATTAATCCAAAAATGTCCCGAATCCTTTAAAAATACCGATTACCCGTTGGTGGTCTTATACGGGTGGGCGCCTCGGCCGCGGCTCCTTCACCAACACCAAAGTATCGGACAAAAATCTCGGGCAGCATTGTCGGCCGCGAAATCGGCAGTCTCGCTAACGACTTGGAACCCCACAAGAAAATAACGTTTCGGCCGTGACCAAAGAATCCGACGAAGTGTCCAGCGAGGCGAAGCGCAAAGAAAGAAAGCATTAGCACAAACCTTAGCAAACAGCATGTCGTCCGCCGATGACAAAATCGAGATAGCGAAGGGTAGCTGTTAGCGAGCTGATGCAGATGCACTTCTATGCGGCTGCACGACTCTGGAATCTTGTCTCTTCCTGCAGAGGCGAGGCTCTTTATATACACGCTGCGTCTCGGAGCCCCGGCGGAGGCTCGCGAGCAGTGAAAGGGGTCATCCCTGCCCTCCTCGCCTGTCTAATCCGCGGCGGTCGCGGCTGGCGCATCTTCCTCGGCCCCGCCGTAGAGAGGCTCGAGAGCATCACCTCGCCTTCTCATCTCGCTCAGCCTCGCCTCCTCCTCCTCCTCCTCCTCCACCACCTCCACCTCCTCCACCTCCTCCACCTCCTCTATCACCGTGTCCTTCTCGTCCTCCTCGTTCTCGGGCGCACTCGCCCGCCTTTAACATCCTGATCCGGATGCGGTGGCGGAGGAGCCGTTGCCCCTTCGCACTGGCCCCCGGAGGTTTGCGCAATTTTTTGAAACGGCCGCTGCTTGTGTCGGAGTCGCGGGGGATCGCGACCTCGGCGAGGAGCCGCCTTTTGAAATAGCTACTACGTCCTGGGGCGGAAAAGCCACGATTTCACCACTGGCTATGCGAAAGTCATCCGCACTTGCGCGCGAGCTATTATTTTTCTGCTTTTTTTTCTTCTTTTCGTTTGTCTCTGTCTCTGTCTCTGTCTCTGTCTCTCTCTCTCTCTCTCTCTCTCTCTCTCTCTCTCTATCCCTCTCCACCCTCCCCCGCGCGGCACAAGCAATGCCGAGTGCACACATTTTGTCGGTTCGGCAGGCAAGGCTCCTACAATCGACGCTATCAATTAATGTTTTCTTGTCCTTTGTTATTCGAGGCGAGCCAGTTCAATGGGTTGGATTTTTCTATTATATAACGATGAACGAAGGGCTTTTACGAATGAACTGTTACGGCAGTTACGTAAGGTGATAATCTACTTGACTGATACGTAATAGCGAGTTGTACATCAAAGTAATGCATCTTAGATGTCAGGTCGAGTCGTCAGGTTTTAGTTACAAGTTGTTTTCGGACGTGACGATAATATTAAGCACATTGTACTCTCTTTAATAGTAACGTCCTTGTTGCTTTTCCGAAAATGGCATTAACAGAATATATTTCATAAGGATTATCTTTGATAACGAGTTATCATTTTGCGCTAACTCATTGGGTTCAGTCAAAATACGTACAAGCGTTAAGTTTTTCTCAATCGAAAAGTGGACCTTCAATTTGTTCAGAGTGATGAATAAATAATTCAACTACTCTCAGTACTCTTATGTAATTTATACATTATTGCTTGACGTAGTATTAAAATGATAAATGTATTTTATATCTTTAGAACATTGACAAACTCGATATGATTGGAATCCTGAAATTATTCTCGTTATGTTCGTTGTCGCAAAACCGATTGTCGATAATATAGTAAATATAGTAATATAGTTAATAGAATTTGATTATTTAAATATTCATCAATTTTAACTTCACTTCCTTGCCATTATAATGTACTTGTAATTATTTGCAGATAATCGTCATTAGCCATCATTCACTTTTAACTTCAAAGAATTTAGAAATATTCGAACAATATGGTCAAACGTGTATTTGGTATACTCAAAGTTATTAAAAAAAAATTTTATATTACAATAATCGTGGGATTGGTAATATAAAAAAATTACATTATACACGATGATATGTTTAATAAAAGATACGTAATTATTTTCATAACTTTTATAATTATATATAATAGATATATTATTTTAAAAATCTATTCATATCAATCAATTGTGCTCTCAGAATTTTGTAAATATGACAGAAATTTATATAAATATTTCTTTTTATTAAGATAATTATTAAGATATGGGAAAAGTAGCTGATAATAGTGTTAGCGGTTACATAAAAATTGAAAGTCGCATATGATTTACAACATTCCACACATTCACTTGAATTTTTCAAAAAAATTATATAACACCAACGTTACATCTAATTTCAGTTTTGAATAACTTCAGTGACACCTAATTGAGTTTCCTTATTATACAAGATAACGCATAAGAAATAGAAAATAAGTGTAATTATATGATTTAGTATATTTGAATCTCTGTATTTAACAAAATATTTGCATTTAATCAGTAAAAAATAATTATTTATAATAATAGATTTAATTTGAAAAGGTTTTATTTGAAAATTATGCATTCTAAGATAACATTAACACAACCTTGTAATGGAATTTTATTTTAAACTACAATGTTAAAGTCATTGGATTATTACATGAGAATTTCGATTTTTATAACATCTCATTTTTAGGCTTTAAATTATAAAAAAATACGGTTCAATGAGAAAATATGTTGCATTACTCGGCAAAAACTACAATTAATAGAAATACAATTTTGTCATACTTATTTATTTTATCGATTTGAATGTTATATTTTTAGTAATATTGTCAAGAATTAACATAAATCAACATAAGATCATTGTATTAATTTCTTAAAATGCTCACGAAAATACAGATATTTTTAATTTCATTTATGTTAATTTAATATTACATATATATTGTATTTTAATAATTTTGCATTAAACGTTGTATTTTAATAATTTCTTAACCGCGAAGAACATATTTCTAGTCGTGTATGATGAATAATACCGTATTATTAAAGATTCGAGGTTAAAACTGTCAAAGTTGATTATTATCGCTTTATTTTTCTATGTGTGTTTTCACGCTTACGGATCTTAGAAGATCAGAAACTGTTTAAAAGCTTAATATCGCGTTTATTTCCGTCCAACGCTGACATTCTATATAGTTTCTACTATTTTTCAAGATTGAAATCCAATTTTAAGTTTCGCTTGGACTACTACGTACTCAACTACTACTTCCGGTGATCTTCCTTCGACTAAGCTCTTTTCGTACTCGAACACGATTGACATAATCGGATTGTAACTGTAGCGTGTGAAATTGCGACGGACCAAGAGTAAAAAGAAACGTAGCTTATTCGATTATGCGTAGAAAGTACATATGAGTTTTTAAGACAAGTGTACATGTCAATTAATGAATATTTTTGTAATAATAAATTGGCAAGAAAGTACAGAAGCGTTCTGATAATTATTAGTAATCATAAGTATTAAAAATCTTTCCTACTTACTTTCAATTGCCAATTAACCAATCAACAATTACCAAGTGAACGCAATTTCACATTACAATTAAATATTATTACTCGGAATTATCACCACAGTGCTAGACAATCGATCGACACATTTATCATGTCCTTATTAATAAATAAAGTTTTATGGATTTCAAATAATGATACGTAGAAAATGTGATGAAACGTGAGATACATTCTTTACTTTCTTATATTCATCTTATATGTGTTACGCAGAATCTGAGTTTCATTCTTGTCCGTGTGTGTACTTATGACAATAGAGTCATCTCGAATGCAATTCAAAATCCGTAAATAATGAGAAAGCCGATTGGTTAAGAATTCTTTATTATAATGATTGGATGAAATAAATATAATAATCGACCGTAGCGCAACCGACGCAGAATAATCGAAGAGCCCTTGCTATTCTTTTCTTGGCTCTTTCATAACTTCACTTATCTTCTCTACCTTCTTCTAGTGTACTCTATGCTTCTCTGTGGGATGATGCGTTTCCTGATTTAAAATTCATTTGATGATTCGTGATAGGAGACTCGCCGTCGTAATTGACAGTAGGAATTAAACGACTGAGTCAACGCATTTTTATATATTTCACTATAATTTACGATCTTAACTGAAAAGTAGAGCTGGCGCTGATTAATTAGGCATTAGAAGAAAAAGAAAAAGGAAAAAGAAAACAGATTAGCGATTGTAGAACGTAAAAATTCATTTCAACATAATGAATAATGTTACTTCTAATTAGTTATCAAATTGAAGTTACATCTCTATTTCTCAAATGATTAATTTGAAAAATTTATATTTTATTCACATAAACGCATCATGATAATATGAATATGTGTGGACTTGACTGATAATATTTATAATTATATTATTACATTTAATGCTTCTAGTCTTTTAAATTTTCTATATTAAAAAGTAATAAAATCGATTTATTATAATTAATGTATGCAGCAGTCTTAACAAATTGTTAATAATAATGTCTTGTTAAACAGATGCAAGCTTTTTAAATGAATTTCCAAAGGTTTCAGTTTATTTATCGTTTAAATAGAAATTTCAGTTATTATTTAATCAATTTCTTAATTGAATAATATTTAAAAGAACTTTTATCCAATATGTTTTTGTAAAATTAGAATACTTTTTAACTTATTGGATAGCAATTTATTATCACTTATTGTATTAAGTTTAAAATTATGTCTTTGCTAAAATATCGAAGTACAAATTTAATTAAAAAATACTATTAGTCCGTAGGTTTTTATTACTTTTATCATTAACAATATTTATGAACGTAAATTTGTAGTTATAATTTTTTCTTTGAAGTTTCTTAAATTTGTTACATGCTCAGGTTAAATAAATTTTAAAGACATTGTTGATGATTTATGAATATATGTTACAACTACTTGTATTATCAATATTATTTGACTAATTATCTTTTATGTATTATATTATCAAATACCTATTCAAATTTTTCGACCGCTTTAAAATTCTTATTTATTAATAGTAATACAAGTATTAAAAATATAATATATTTATGCTTTGTAATTATTATTTGACTATGAATATTTTGTAACTTTAGCTACATGTATTTGAATTAATAATAACACGAGAACAATAAATTTAAATAAAATAGGACAGATTTCATTCATATAAATAGTATTCAAGATCATAAACAGAAGAAATATATTACCATTAAAATAATTATGTTAAAAACAAATTTGAATTTATTATTAAAAATTTCACAATTAGTTAGTTTATATCATTAAAAATCGGCTGAATTTCTGAACGTTTAGTTTATTATTCATTATAACACAGATAATATTATAAATATTTTATTTAATATTATATTTGTTTCATAACACAATTAATAATTTATGGTTAATTTTATCGTGAGGTATTTTAACATCCAAGCCGTATTTATTATATCAATATATTATTAATATTATAAATTTTCCTTGA